ATCCCTAATGAGTCCTTGCCTTTCCAAAAAATGTAAATCCTGTTCTTCAGGAACCCCTCCAAAAACCTGCCCACCACTGACATCAGGCTCACTGGTCTATAGTTCCCTTTTCCTTCCTACCTTTCTTAAATAATGGCAGCACATTGGCCACCCTTCAGTCTTCCAGCACCTCACCTGTGATGATCGATGATACAAATATCACAGCAAGGAGCCCAGCAATCACTTCCCTAGCTTCCCACAGAGTTCTAGGGTACGAACTGATCAGGTCCCAGGGATTTATCTACCTTTATGCATTTTAAGACATCGTCTGTAATATGGACACTTTTCAAGATACCGCTATTTATTTCCTCAAGTTCTCTAGCTTCTATATCCTTCTCTACAGTGAAATACTGATGCGAAGTACTCAGTTAGTACATCACCCATCTTCTGCGATTCCACACAGACTGCCTTGTTGATCTTTAAGGGACCCTATCTTCTTCCTAGTAATTCTTTTGTCCTTAATGTAGTTGTAGAGTCTCTTTGGATTCTCCTTAACCTTATCTGCCAAAGCTATCTGGGAATAGCCTCTCCCAATCAACTTTTGAAAGTTACTGTTTATTACTGTCAAAATTGGCCTTCCTCCAATTTAGAACTTTAACTTTTAGATCAGGTCTATCCTTTTCCATCAGTATTTTGAAACTAATAGAATTATGGTCACTGGCCCTAAAATGCTCCCCCACTGACACTTCAGCCACTTGCCCTGCCTTATTTCCCAAGAGAAGGTTAAGTTTTGCTCCTTCTTTAGTAGGTACATCCACGTACTAAATCAGAAAATTTTCTTGTACACACGTAACAAATTTCACTCCATTCAATAGGATTATGGCTCATCATCCAACTTGATCCCTGATCCTGCTCTCTCCCCAAACCTTTTGCTCCCTTTAGCCCTAAGATCTAAATCTAACTCCTTCCTGAAAATATCCAATGTTTTGGTCTCGATCGCTTTCTGTGATAGAGAATTTGACAGGTTCCCCCACTCTCTCGGTGAAGACATTTCTCCCCAACTCAGTTCCCAATGGCCTACCCCAGATCGTCAGACTGTGACCCCCTGTTTCTGGCCTCCCTGGTCATGGGGAACATCTTTCCTGCGTTTAATCTGTCTGGTTGTGTTAGAATTGTTAGATCCCCCACCTAATTCTTTTAAACTCCAGTGAATATGGTCCTGACCGATCCAGGCTTTTCTTCTGTCAGTCCTGCCATCCCAGGATTCAGTGAAAGGAGGGAGAACATAGAACATAGAACATTACAGCGCAGTACAGGCCCTTCGGCCCTCAATGTTGCGCCGACCTGTGAAACCAATCTGAAGCCTATCTAACCTACACTATTCCATTATCATCCATATGTTTATCCAATGACCATTTAAAAGCCCTTAAAGTTGGCGTGTCTACTACTGTTGCAGGCAGGGCATTCCACGCCCTTACTACTCTCTGAGTAAAGAACCTACCTCTGACATCTGTCCTATATCTATCACCCCTCAATTTAAAACTATGTCCCCTCATGCTAGCCATCACCATCCGAGGAAAAAGGCTCCCACTGTCCACCCTATCTAATCCTCTGATCATCTTGTATGTCTCTATTAAGTCACCTCTTAACCTTCTTCTCTCTAACGAAAACAACCTCAAGTCCCTCAGCCTTTCCTCATAAGACCTTCCCTCCATACCAGGCAACATCCTGGTAAAAGGGGAGGGGGGAGAGATTGCACACAATGGAGGGGGGGAGAGGGGGAAGGGAAGGGCACAGAGGGAGGACAGAGGGGAGGGAAGGGCACAGAGGGAGGACAGAGGGGAGGGGGGAGAGGGGGGAGGGAAGGGCACAGAGGCAGGACAGAGTGGAGGGGAGAGGGGGAGTGGGAAGGGCACACAGGGAGGACAGAGGGGAGGGGGGAGATGGGGGAGGGAAGGGCACAGAGGCAGGACAGAGTGGAGGGGAGGGGTGGGTGGGAAGGGCACAGTGGGAGGACAGAGGGGAGGGAGGAGAGGGGGGAAGGAGGCAGAATCGATACTTACATTTTGCCTGTGTCGACCTTCTCACATTTGTAGTGCTTGCCGAAGGAATGTCGGTGCATTGGAGCCTCGATCCGAAAATCATGGATTCCCGGCTGGAGAGAGAGATAGAAGGAGAGAGGGAGGGAGGAGGTGGATAGGGGTAAGGGAGAGAAGGTGACAGAGAGAGAGAGAGAGGGGGGAGGAGAGGGGTGGATAGGTGTAAGGGTGGGAGAGAAAGAGGGTGAGAGAAATGGAGAGGGAGAAGGAGGGAGATGGATAGGGGTAAGGGGGGGGCGTGGTGAGAGTGGGGTGAGAGGGAGAGGGAGGGAGAAGGAGGGGGTGGATGGGAAAGAGGGAGAGAGAGGGGCATGGATAGGGGTAAGGAAGACGGAGAGAGAGAGAGGGAGGGAGAGAGAGGGAAGGGTGTGGACAGGGGTGAAGGGAGAGAGGGTGAGAGGGAGAGGGTGGGGGTGGGTAGGGGTAAGGGAGAGAGGGAGGGGGTGGATGCGAGTAAGGGAGAGAGAGAGAGAGGGAGGGTGAGGGAGGGGGGGGATAGGAGTAAGGGAGAGAGGGAGAGGGAGGAATGGGGGGGGAGGGGGGAGAGAGAGAAGAGAGAGGGAGAGAGAGGGAGAGGGGGAGAGAGAGAGAGGAGAGATAGTGAGAACCATACAATGAGGATTCCAATAACGCCATATTTTAGAGACTTACTTTAACTGAAATAACTGTTAAAGTTTATTAATTATGTTGTCAAATGTGTACTCACGTGGATGCTCAGTTGGACATTTTTCCATTGGCAGAATCTGGTGAAATATTTACTGTGGCAGAAGAAATAATTAATAGACTATCTGGTTGTGTTGAGACCCTCAGTCTGTTCAAAAGAGATTGTACTTTTGCTGACCCACGGCCAATTGGCAGCTGAGCCCCTGTAGTTGGCACTGCCCAGAGATAAGGGAGGAGAGAGGCAGGGGATGACGGGTCAGGTACTCTTCAGGCCGCGCGCTGTACTGACCTTTTCAGAAACCGGTTGAAGATCTGTCGAGAGAGGGCCTGGCAGATCTCTGAAATGAGCGGCTGTGAGGGAGAGAAGGGAAAAAGAGAGTCACGAGTTGATTGGCATCACGCAGTGGGGGAGGGATGGGGCCCAGTGCCAGGAACAAGGTGACGTAAAGAGACAGGGAGATTGAGACAAATGGGGAGACAAGGAAACAGACAGGGAGACGGGAGACGGGAGACAGGCAGGGAGGTAGGGAAACAGTGAGACCGGCAGGGAGACAGGGGGACAAGGACAATGCAGTGTGGAGCTGGAGAAACACAGCAGGCCAGGCGACATCAGAGGAGCAGGAAAGCTGACGTTTCGCGTCAGGACCCTTTTTCAGAAATGAGTTCTTGCTATCTCAGAGAGGGAGACAGACAGGGAGACAGGTGGGAAGACAGGGAGATGGCTTTGTCCTACAATCAGCAAGGGGAAATGGAGACTGACCTGAAAGAGATTTTGGGGATACCGATGCTGATGAAGGCAATACTGAATCTCACTGATGATACTTTGTGTAAAAGCCTAAAAACACAGGCAGAAAAGAACAGTCAATGCACAAGCGGAGACACAGTCAATGCATCGGCTAATTTACAGCTACTCCACAGGCAGAACACAGTATAAACACAGGCAGAAATACTATGAGTATACAGGGACAGAATGAGACGCAGTCCCTGGACAGGCAGGATAAACAGACAGAGAGTGAAGGTGAGGATAAAAACACAAGAGATATCAATGCTGCGTGAGTGAGTGATTGAGCAGGGTTACCTCAGGGAAAGAGAGAAGCTCCGGCATGATAAACTTCTGATAGATTTCCCGAGCAATCGGACCGCGGGCTTCATCACTGCCCCGCTTCTCATATGCTCGGATCTACACAGAGAGAGACACAACAGAGAGACTGTACAGAGAGAGTCAGAAACACAGCTCACAGTCACACGGTCAGTGCTGAGGGAGCGCCGCGCTGTCGGAGGGTCAGTGCTGAGG